CCTGCACATTCGCCTGTCTGACATGGTTCGCTCTCTTCCTCGCCTGGGAGATGATCGATATGCGCCGTTCTTTCTTCCGCATGCAGCCTGGCAGCAAGCGCTACTTCACCCAGTGGATGCTCGATGTATGGAGGAACCAGTTCCTCTTCTGGGCCATCATGATCGGTTTCGTCCTCCTCTTCCCGCTCATCTACATCCCTGTTCTCAACACGGTTGTGTTCAAGCACGCGCCCATCGACTGGGAGTGGGGTATCGTCTTCGTCGAGACTGGTATCTTCTTTGCCGGTATCGAGCTCTGGAAGTGGTGCAAGCGCGTCTACTTCCGCCGTATGGCTGCTAAGCACGGCAATGGAAAGGTCGACAAGAATATGGACATCGAGGACCGTACCTTTGGTCGCTACTACAGCCGCGACTCTTCTGTCGCTGGTAGCGAGAACATGCAGGAGAAGGCTTAGAGCCTTACCTATGGAGGAACTGTATAAAGTGAGATGTTGCAGGGTGAGGCGGCCCTGCTAGGAGTATGCGAGGAGGTTTTCTTGCTCTTCGCGAGCATGATACCTGCCTAGCACAAAAGTTAGTCACATAGAATGCTTAGACATGACCACGACAACGTGCATTACGATCCTTAGATATAATAAAGAAGATTACCACATCATACATTCTACGTTCCCATCTTCTGAGAACTGCAGTGTGCGACGTCCTCGTTACCGCTGCGAGTCCAAGCGACGGAATTCCCTTCTGGCGCTCGGGCTTTCATGGGACCCATCGCACTAACCGCTTCGGGCGTGACTGTTAGCATCAGATACAGAAAGAACGAATGTGCAAGTACAAAGGATCAAGAATGTATCCAAAGTTGTTTTTGTCTGGGCAGTCTTCCTATGTATACGACTAGAGCGAGGCGCAGCCGCCGAAGTAAACTGCGGTATTTTGCATTGGTGCGACGCGGTAGCTTTGCGGCATTTTACTTTACCCCGACACCTTACCTACAAACCCTCCGCACCAGGCCGGCAAAAGATGAGATCGTCAAGAACAACATGCGCGCAGCGAATCGCGGGATAGAATGGAAACGTGAGGGGGTTGCGTGAATAGATTCTCTAGGGGAAGTACCGCGCGTGTGACTTCTCAACTTGGAGGGATAACCTAATGATGAGGCCGGGGCATGCATGCGATGGGAGGAACAAGTATAAAGCATTCGTCTAAAAATTGGTATTCGTCATGGAAGTGTAGTGGGAATGGCTACCTGCCGGTACCTCCACCCTCCAAACAGGTAGGTAGAGATGCAATATGATACAAATCGCGCAACGATCTTCACCTAAACGATCAATCGCCCTGGCTCGGCTTCAAGCACCGTCTTTACGCGCTCGAGGAAAACGCGACCACGCTTCTCGTCGCCCTTGGGCACGCTCACACTGAATACGTTGAGGGGACCCGCGACACCTGCTGCGCCCGAAACAGGCTTAGCGGAAGTCTTCTTACCGGCTAACATGTCGAGGATGTCCGACTTTGGTGCTGGGGCGCGCTTGCTGGGGATGGTGGTGGGTGGTAGCGCGGTGACTTCTGGGACGAAGTTGCCCCGCGAGTACTTCGATGATACCTTGTCGAGGCCCAGAACAGCGTTGAATAGCTCGTCGGCGGTTGGCTTTGCGACCTTCGAGCGGGGAAGATCCTCGTTGGCGAGCTCGGCGGCGCGCGCGACGAATGTGGATAGAGGAAGGAAGACGCCTATTGAGTCCTTGACGCGCTTCTGGCATTCCATTACTGCGGTGAGGGAGACGGGTAGTGCTACCTCGATAGGGAGGTCTTCGACAACCGCTGGTGCCTTGGCTGCCGGCTTCTTTGATGCTTCCTTCTTGGGCATGGGCTTGATGTTGGAGAGATCGAGGTGCGATAGCTTAGTAAAGCGACTCGCCAGCTCTGAGGGGTAGGAGTTCTCGATCTGTCCAACGTACGCGAGTACGTCTCCCTTGAGCAGCCTGCCGCCAGGACCAGTCGCGGGGATCTTATCAGCCTCCTCCTTTGGCAGACCGTTGACTTCGAGCAAGTGTTGTACGGAGGGATATAGCGGGTAGGTTTGCTTGGAGGCCTTGCCGCTGGAGGCTTTCTTCGAGGCATCGGATTTGGCAGGCGGGGCAGAGGTTCGCTCCTCCTTTGGTACCGGCGCAGGCTCTTTCTTGGACTCCTTGGGCGCTTCGGCCTGTTTCTTGGGCGCGGGGCTCTCTTCTGCGGGTATCTCGAGGGTGGACAGGTCGTCGCCGGGCTCTGCTGTGACGGCTATCCGTGTGCCGACCTGGACTGCTTTGGAACCGTCTTGGACCTGAATCCTTGTTAGCCATGAACTGAACTAACACAATGTCTCTCCACTCACAGTGATCTTTGCCAAGATACCGTCATCCTGTGCTTCGACGTCCATCTGCGCCTTGTCCGTCTCGATCTCGAGCAACACGTCGCCGGCGGAGAAAGAGTCTCCCTCTTTGATCTTCCAACTCGCGATGTTGCCCTCGGTCATGGTCGGTGAAAGCGCAGGCATGTTGAAGCTTTGCGCAGCGAGCGAAGCCTGACTTGAGTGAAGTCCTCTCCGAGCACCTTGGTTGCGCAACTGCTGCGAGGCAGCCCGCGCCGAGACCCTACATACCGCGGCGAGCGAAGCCATGGGAAATCAATTGACGGGCGGAGACAATGGCAGTGGGAGGGTGTTGAGCGACGGTGCCGATCTGCTGGCGGAAATGTTGGGCGGAACAAGCTTCGGAGGTGTCGAGCGGGACGCGCTTGGGCCGCTTCTACTTTTTCCGACATATCGCGACGGCTTCCAGGTACCCACGCCCACGTACTGCCGCATTGACTTGCTGGAGTATGCTCGGTGTATAGCGCTGCATCAAACACCCGTGTCACTGCTCTCATAATGCCCGCCTTCTCCCGGGGCTTCGATGCCTTCCTGCGCCAACACACCCTCCGCCTCCCCTCATCCCTCCGCGCCGCCCTCTTCGGAACACGGGAATCGTTCTTCACACCCACCACGATACGGACGATACGGCAGAACCGTTCCTTCACATCCTCCGTGCTCCGACGCTACCAATACCCCAAGACCAATGTAGTCGCACCGAAACCCAGCTCATTCGTGAGCAGCGACCCAGTCCTCCGCCAAGTCGTCCAAACCCGCCAGCCAGTCCTCCTCTACCAAGCGCCCAAGAACAAGTGGTACTATCTGAAGGTGTACGGAACAGGAGCGTTATGGATTGGTGTCGGCGCGTTCTCCATCAAGTTCAATGACGACATTAAAGACAATGGACTATCCTTCTTCGTCCGACCAACCTATGTCGTGGTCGGAGTGGGCTTCATCATCATCGGCTGCTACATCTGTACCGCGCCCAGCAACCGCATGCGCGCACTGGAAGTCCTTCCTAGTTTACAAGGCGGGCCCATGCAATTGCGCATGGTAGTCAAGCCGGTGCCGTGGCTGAAAGAGCGCGTCATATACACGGATTTGGGCAAAGCGACAATAAGTGAGAAGACCGAGCCCATGGTGGCTGAGCTGCTTGAGGCAGAACGATTCAAGCGCCAGAAGCTTTGGGATGACTTGGGACATATGAACATTGCGGCGCGTGTGTGGGAGGGTTCTGCGCGCTGGGTGCATCAGAAGTGGACTAACTTCTTTTTGAAGTTCAAGTTCGCTGTGCTGAGGTTTGGAATCGCCAAGGTCAAGGTGAGGGGTGATGAGTGGAAGATTGACTGCTCGGGGTACTTGCTCGAGAACGGCAAAGGTATGTTTATGTGATCACAATCCTGAGATGAATATTAATCAAGACAGCTGTCGATCGAATCATACCTGAAGAATAAGACGTCGCGCACACGTTCAAGGAAAATACTCTGAAATGTTTTGAGGAAGTCGTTCCTAGTGTTCACAACTACGAGCTCGCTGAGATCGAAGAAGCGCTAGCATTATGGATGGCGACAACTCCTGCTAACCTTGGAAGTGTCAGTTGTTGATACGACGGCACACGATCTATTACGAATCATGGTAGTATATCATGTACAAGATATGTATATAACGGCAAGCAACTGTAGAATACTGTAAGATACCGGGCCCGCGCTATTTGCAAAGCGCAATGCTGTCGACAAACCTCTAATGTACGTCTGGTGCATTGAAACGCAGGATCGAATGCTTCTTGCCACCCGCTCGGTGTTTGCATTCGATTTATCACAAAAGGCAGGACGACGATGAGTGACGAGGTGTACGCTTTCTCTTCTCTCCAATTTTTCTACATCTTACTTTCCGCCTGTTCGTCAGCATTGTCTACGCACGCACTCGTGGCTGTGCTATGGCCTGGATTTACTGACAGGGCTGAGAGAGATTCTTGTATCCAGAACTAGGCAGCTGACCTGCCTGCAGCGTGACTGCATACAACTTTGAACGAATGGGAGATCTAGGACTGGGGCTAGCCCCTGCGCAAAACCATAGCCCCAATGCCGACTGACGTAGGTCGTCGTTCAATGGTTCATGGAGCACTGAATAAACATTGAGCGGGTAGTCGAACCGTCGACTCGACTTGACAAACAGCTCCAACTTTTGCACTGGGAGCATCGCACTGGATGACCGAAAGAAGTTACGCTCAACATTGGGATATTTTGCAGTGCCTACTTGGTCCAGCGCGTGACCAATACCCTTCCTCGAGAGATGAGTGACTCAAGTCGTCCTATATTGAGTGTCCTCTTCCGGTCTCGCAACTGCCCAACGCTACACTGACCATCCGATCTGCCAACAACGAGCGACACCACCGAGTACCGGCGCCAAGTACCTCTATCATATAGTGCGCTGCAATCCTTCTAGCTTTCTCCTTCTTTCTCCCTCTTTTCTCTCTCTTCAATCGCTTTCGACTGACGTCATACACCATAGTGCTTGCTCATCGTCCACCCAAATGTCTCGCTCCGTATCGCACTCGAGCCCAACGGCTACCAACGCGCATGGTGGCGGCCCACCAACACACCCGGAAAACATCACGCCCATGAACTCGAGGGACTTGTCGGCCTGGCTGCTCATCTCAGAAGATCAAGAGTCTGAGGCATTGGTTGAGGGAAGCGTGCGATTCCATGTAGACGACGTCCAGTACAAAGATGCAGACGGGGATCACAGATGTAAGTCACCAGAGCCGTCGAAGTGGCAACATCGCTGACAGGTTATTATAGGTGTCACTAAGCTCAAGATATTAGACCAGGATGGTCGCAGGTTCAGTGCTTCTGGGGTCCTCATAGGACCCGATTTAGTCCTGACCTCTGCCCACAATGTTCGACATCTTGGTGGAAAAGACTATGTCTCTCGGGCTATCTCTATCAGGGTGTACATTGGATACCACCACCAAGGCTCCTCGAACGGCATCGGCGTCGAGGAGCGTTTCGGCAAAAGAGTCACAGTGCTTCAAGAATGGAAACGGTCCGGATTTGCTTGGCACAACGATATGGCTCTCATCGAGCTCGAGAGCAAGTTCGCGCAGGTCAAGCCTGCCTTGTACCAGGCGCCATCATTGGTGAAGTCAAGAGTGCTCGTCGTTGGTTACCCTGGCGAAAACATAACGCAAGTCAACGGATCTTGTCCACTTTGCGAGAGAGGTGGATGCATGTACGAGGTGGCGGGTCAAGCCAGGTACAATTCCCAGAATCTGCTGCAGTACACAATTTCGACTATGCCGGGTAAGCTAGCAAGCCAAAAGTCCTCTCATCATGCCAAAAATGCTAACAACAAGGCATAGGTAACTCTGGAGGTCCGGTCTTCCTCGAAAGCAAGCGCAAAGAGAACACGCCCAGAACAGTCATAGCTACACACAGCTATAGCAGCTCACGGAAGGGGACCAACTACGCCGCTCCGGTTGACGTCGCCTTCATCGAAGCAACGAAGGCTTTCCTACGTCTCTCGCATCTATCTCCTCACCAAAACGTCATAATGCACCAGCATGGTGATACTGGGGACTGGATTATCTTTCGAACGCTGGAGATAACACCCAGCCGTAGAAGAGCCCTCACCAGGCCTTCTAGAGGCTAGGCGTGCGTCTGTTGCAGCGGCAATGTCGTATACCAAGAAGAAGACAGACTATGCCGGATTCTGAAAATGCGTTCGTGTAGGAAAGGAAAGCCAGTTGGAATCATCTCACTCGGCGTCGGACCACGATACGCCGCTTCCAAAGCTCATCAGTTCAACACACGTCGGTGAAGCCTCCGGAAGTAATGACAGCGTTCAACACCCTGCGTCGCGTCACGATCACATACAGCGGACAACAAGCTGACGCACTTGATTCCTTTCACATTATACCCCTTGTAGGTGTCATTAGCATCACCATATATTATGATACCCGGTTCCCTATCCTTCGCGCTGTTTCTCTACTATGCTAAGAAGGAAGGCAAGACTTTCCCAATGCCTGAAAAATGTTCAGTGAAGTAATTTTCAGGGTTGAAGGAGCCTGATGTCGGAGTCTAAGTTCATAAACAATCAGATCGCATTGTATGCTCCTCTGTCGTGTACCATAAAACTGAAAACAATGGACCCATTTCCTGCATCTGTCCATTGATGCTGGTTCCAACCCCAACATGCTACGCTCAAAACCCCACATCCACCCAATACCCCGTACTCCCCTTACCCTTATAAAACTGCGTATATGCACCTATCGTCGACCTATCATGCTTCATATTAGCACACCCCCCTAAAGATCTCCTGTCACAACCACTTACCCGGCCAGCTGCTCCTTATCCTTGGCCTTCTGCCAATCCTTCCAGCGCTCCTTCTCAGGCAGCGTCGCATCCCGCCAGCGTTCCTTGCCTGGTTCAACGGATTTTGAACGGCGCGTACCGGAATGAATATGCAGTTTTGAACGCCAGGAATGTGAGGAGGAGGGACGTTCTGGTGTTGATGTGGGGGGTTTTGAGCTGGATATGGATGTTGAGGTGGAGGTTGTGGATGCGCTTGTTACGTTTACGAGGGGTGTGGTAGGATCTTTCTTCTCGGTAGACATTTCTGGGACTTGGAGTTTGGATGGGTCTGTCATTGTGGGAATGATATGTGTGTAGTTGAGGTGGAGAAGTGCGGAGATGGAGTGATGGGGACAGTGGGGAGGGTATATGGTGGGATGAACGGAGAACAGGTTTTATTGTAGCACAGTGCTTACTATCTATATAGTATCGGTAGGGTATAAGTTGTTGATCACTGGTTGTGGCTGTGGAATCTCACTATCTGTGAGACGGGCGTAGGCGTCCACAGGGCTGAGTCCACTAGCCGCCCCCGATGTTGCGGTTAGTGTGGCGCTGTGGCTGTGGCTGTATCGGACCGACTTGGGATCTGCGAACTGTATGAACTTGATGTAAACATTTCCTACTGACCATACACTACTTTACTCTGCCAATTCCACCTCATCAAGATTCTTCCGTATGAACTTCGTCACTGCATCTAGCCCCTCCTTAATAACGTCCGTCTGATTAACAAACCCGATCCTAACATACCCCTTGAACTCCTCGCCGAAACAAGTACTACCAGGCACAAACATGACGCCCGTAGCCTCTAGCAACTTTTTGCAAAAGTCCACAGAGTCCACTGCCTTGCCTTCTCGGTGGAACTTGACGAAAGCCGTAGTACCAGCCACAGGCTTCACCCACTCGCACTCATCCTCGTTCTTGAGTTGAAACTTCTCCAGAAGAGCCAGGTTGGTTCTCGCGAGTTGGATGTTGCGAGCTAGCAGACTGTGCACTGTTGATGAGTGGAGAGCGTAGGCGGCGATAGCTTCGTCGAAGTAGGACACGGAGATTGTGGTGTAGTGCCGTGCTGAAGCGATCTTTTCGATGATTTCAGAACTGCGAGATGCTATCCAGCCGATGCGGATGCCTGCGAGAGAGTAGGCTTTTGACATGGAACCTGTGACGATGACGTTCTTGTAGCCCATGGATAGGAGGGAAGGTGGGAATTCTTTGTCTATGGGGATGATGGAGTGGAATAATGGGCGGTAGACTTCGTCGCTCATGATGGTGATGTCCTTTTCGGTCGCGATGTCGATGAGTTCTTGGAGGAAGGTCTTGCCTAGGATGGCGCCGGTGGGGTTATTTGGGTTGTTGATGATGATGAGCTTGGTGTTGGGCTTGATGAGCGTCTTCAGCTCGTCGATGGTTGGTACCCATTTGTTCTCTGGGGTTGCTTTCCATAGGTCGACTTCGGCGCCCAGTTGCTTGGGCACTTCGTAGAGGGACTGGTAGGTGGGGTAGTGGCAGATGACATGGTCTCCCGGTCCAACGAGGGAGTAAGCAGTCAGGTAGTTTGCTTGGATGGCACCAGGAGTGATGAGGATGTTGTCTGGAGAGAGGGGGTTTGTGACCTTGGCAGAATATAGTCTTGCCAAGTTGTTGCGCAGGTCGTCACTTCCTCTGATGGCCCCGTAGTTCAGGACACGCGAGGTGTCGAAAACAGGCTGATCTTTGTTCTCTGACAGCTCGCGTAGCTGATCGACGGAAATTGAGGCGCAACACGTCTCGGCGATGTTGTACTTGCATTTCGTCTCGTACGCATCCATCCACTGGGCATGTTAGTCACTTCCCCACGTGGAGTGCGAGATGCGGGGAATGACATACGGACTCGACGGCGAATTCTTCAATCTTGACCATTCTGGCTTGTGAGATAGAAGGAGATGTGTGACGGTCGGAAGAGCGCAGAGAAAAATTAGACGATATAGTTTTTATGTCTCAAGGTAGCTCTGGGGATTGACATAGGGCGCACATGATAGCCTCTCGAGGTTCCGCTGAAGCGGGCGAGCTAGTTGCTAGAGCGCTCCGACGGCTAGGTTGGGCTGGCAAGAGCGCGTCGCCGCTGATGTCGCGCGATCACGTTGATCAGCGCGTTACTAGAGACGAGGCTGCCAGTCGCGTGATGTATATCCATATCCTGCGCTTCTGCATGTTGTGCCAGATATCGATGATGACGAGGACCATGTTGCCTGCATCACCTGTTGGCGTGTGCCTCGGTCTAGCGGTCCGCCATGGTGCTTGGCTGGAGACAGGCCAGCCTCCACGAATCAGCGTCGCCGCAGGCCGATGATAGCAGCACTGCCATCATCTGGCCACCCGTTGCTACCTGTTGTCCCTCGTCACCATCGCGAGCTGCCCAGCTCTTGCCGTTCCTTTGACTTTGACAGTCACCTTCCGTCTCATCACGTTACCTCCGAAAGAAGCAGGCACACAACAATCTAGATAGCTATCGCATAGCTCGTCCCGCGCCGCAAACAAGACGCGATGCGCCAACGAACCTGGGCGACGTCGCTCGCCGCCTTGCTAGGCCTGGCATCGACGGCAACCGCCCACAAGACGTTCGCCAATTACACCCTCGCCGATTCGCCACAGGATCTCTTCTCCATCTACGGCGACCGACCCGATGGCTGTCCGCCATGCTTCAACTGCAACCTGGAAGACTTCAAGTGCAAGCAGTTTGCCGACTGCAGCAAAGCGAACGGGAGATGCAACTGTGGACCCGGATTTGGAGGCGAGGACTGCTCAGAGCCCCTCTGCGGCGCCCTGCCCGATGGCAAGAACCGCTCACCACGCGGAGGCGCAAAGGAGTGCGAGTGCTCAGAGGGCTGGTCTGGCATCAACTGCAACGTCTGCCAGACCAACGATGCCTGCAACGCCATGATGCCGGATGGAGAGGGCGGCGTCTGCTACAAGGACGGTCAGCTGGTCAAGGAGAACTTCCAGATCTGCGACATTACCAACAGAAAGATCTTGGACACGTTGAAGGACAAGAAACCGCAGGCGACCTTCTCTTGCAATGCCGAATCAGAGGAATGCAACTTCCAATGTAAGCTTCATACCCTCCACCCTTCCTTCCCAGCTAACCATCGCAGTCTGGGTCGACCAAAGGGAATCCTTCTACTGCGCCCTTGATACGTGCTCCTCCCACTTCACCGCCGAATCCGACCGCAACATCACGAAATACCGATGCGAGAACATCAAGTGCGAATGTGTCCCTGACAGGATGCTCTGTGGAGAGGATGGCTCCGTCGACATTGGCGATTTCTTGAAGGAGTCCATCAAGGGTCCTGCTGAATTCAGAGGCATCTCAGCTATCAACAGCAAAGACAGCGGAAGCATCTTCTCGGAACCTGCCATGAACGACCTCATCTCGAGCATCTTCGGCGACGAAAGCATCTTCCTACAATGCGACACGGGCGAGTGCCTATACCAGACGGAAGTGCCAGGTTACGAGAGACCCATCAAGAAGATCAACACTCCGTTGATCGCTGGCGTCATTGCAGGAATCGCACTATTCATCGTGGCGGCTATCTTGGCCATCTGGTACATTACCCACCGCGCTGAGAGCCATCGATACGGTCCCATCCACCTGTCGGACGATGAGGAGGACGAGGATGCGAAACTGCTCGCCGACCACAAGCCAGCTTCCTTCCTCTTCGAGAACGTCGCCTACAACCTAAAAGGAAAGCAGATTCTGTCTGGCATCTCTGGCGCTGTCCACCCCGGAGAGCTCTTGGCCATCATGGGTGCCTCGGGTGCTGGAAAGACTACCTTCCTTGATATTCTGGCCCGCAAGAAGAAGATTGGAACCGATAGTGGCGATTTCTATATCAATGGCGAGAAGGTCCGCGATGACGAGTTCAGAAGCGTGATCGGTTTCGTCGACCAGGAAGACACCCTTTTGCCTACCTTGACTGTTCACGAGACGATTCTCGACTCTGCATTGTTGCGCCTGCCCAAGGAGATGAGTCGCATCTCCAAGGAGCAAAAGGTAGAAGACGTTGAACGTCAACTCGGTATCTACCACATTCGCAACCAGAAGATTGGCTCTGAGGAAAGCGGTCGTGGAATTTCCGGTGGTGAGAAGCGTCGTGTCGGTATTGCCTGCGAACTTGTTACCTCGCCCAGTATCCTCTTCTTGGACGAGCCCACAAGTGGCCTGGACGCCTACAATGCTTTCAACGTCGTCGAGTGCCTTGTCAACCTGGTCAAGAACTACAACCGAACTGTCGTCTTCACTATTCACCAGCCACGCTCCAACATTGTCGCTCTCTTCGACCAACTGATACTGCTTGCGAAGGGCAGAGCTGTCTACTCTGGACCATTC